ACCCCCCCCCAGCCCCTTTTCTGACCCGCTTCCTGGCTAGGCTTCCTAAAGCGTGGCTCGATCCACATCACGTTTTGTCGTTTCCGAATGTCTCGTTAACGCTGCCAGAAAGGGAGGACTGCGGCCAGGTGATGAGCCTCGCCTTTCCTTCCTCAGCCTGGAGCCCAGGCACTGCTTGGAGAATGCCTCACCCATCTTCCTGGCCCGGGGGTCAGGCAGCCCTCCTTCCCCATCTGGACCTCTGGAACAATTTCAGCTTCTCTCCTACCATGACGGCTTCCTGCTCTTCCACGGCCCCCGGCACCCCTACTTTTGTCTCCCTTTCTGCTCGACATGTCCCTCCTCTGGCATTTATGACAGGCGACTCTGCACCCTGGTATTGGGGTGAATGCCTCCTGCCCCCTGACAGCTCCCCGAGCATCAGGACCACACAGTCACCTCCGCATCATCCACAGGTCTACATGGTGAGAGCTCCACACATTTGGCCACTGCACCCCATCTTCTGATTACTCAGATGGACCCACTCATCTAGTCCATCAAAAGAGAAAACGGGTAGGGAGCCCAAATTGTCCCTGAGTTGATCTAAAACAAAACAAAACAAAACAAAAAAGAAACCAAGGATTCTGTAAGAACTGCAAGTTGCTTTTCTAAATTAGACACAAAACAGCCCCACCGAATTCTAAACTCGGCCAACATTGCAGCTTTCCCCTTTGAACAGATGAAAAGCTGAAATACTACATGAACTGCTCCATGGGCTTTTGCCTCTGAGAGGACATGCAGTATTGGGGTACGATCCTGGGGGGATGCAAGTGGCAGCTAACATATAATGAAGAAGGAAGTAATTCAGAGACAGATCTGGAGCTTGGAAATGGACCGCATTGTTAGTGCACCTTGAAACTTAAGCATCTACACAGGGAATGTTGTAACTGGAGGCCTGGTTCAAAAACAGCTAAATCTAAAGCACATTTTGAAAAATGTAGTCAATATTAGGTACAATTTTCAGTTTAAGACACCCTTGGGAAACCACTCCAAGTTACCAAAACTTTGGTGATTTTCTTCCAGCAAATTACTGATCTATAAAACAGTTGTGCAACACTGATTTCCATCTTTAGGTGATGGGGAGAGACCGCTTTTCCCTTTACCCCTTGCAGATCTGTCTGCTGAGCTACTTGTATTAGAGTTAAGTCTTTGGGGAGGGACCTAGTTCTCTGAAACAGTAAAAGGATGTGGTTGAACTCCCAGTTCCTTGTAAATGCAAAACTCTCAAGTCTAATATTTAATACTGGTGACAAGTGTTTATCTGGCTCCCCATGTTCCTGAAGGCCAGCCTGTTGGCCAAGGCTTCTTTCTACGGGGGAACAGGACAGATACAACCGTAGGAAAACCATTCCTGGTCCCCCCTGACCCCTGAGGAGTGACGAAAGCCTGGTGCTGAATTTGGCCATCCGGAATGAAAAGCCAGGCTTCAGGTACCACTCACCTCATCCAAAGCTTCTCACATTCTCTGGGTGTGAGGGGAATATCAAAGCTGTACAGCGCGTTCTTTACATCCCGTCGTCGAAGAATGCCGTTGCCCTCATTGTCGGTTTCGATAAAATTCTACAATATTCCAAGGCGGCATTTAGTAATCATGCATAATTGCTCAGACAGTATACAGGCTTTTCAATAGTCAGTATCTGGAACAATCTAAGACATTTTTCTACCATTCCTCCTGCTTAAAAACCTTTTAATCTATGTCCTAGATACCCTCCCCATTCCTCTAAAGAAGGTGATCGAGCAAAACACGAACAAGTGTTAACATCCTAGGAGGGGCTTATTTCTGGGTAATGAGTGGTCTCAGGGGTGTGGCTTGGATTCTTCTCTGACCAACAACTTGGGATCAAACACTGTTAGAGATAAGAGTCAACCAGAGCCTGGGAAATGAGGCGCAGCCCACACTGCTGAGGTTATCATCTCCACGATGCAGCGAATTTGGCTGCCTGGCTGTCTGTCAGAGGGGAAATGAGGGACGTGAGACTCTGGTTGTTGTGACAAGATGGTATGGTACCATTTCAATATCCCCGAGGGGTGCAAAAGGCATCTGGGGATTTGTCACCGCAGACTAGAAGAGCAGGTAGCACAGGGCGCTCCACTCTGTCTTAAATTGTTTCCGAACAATAGCTCATTCGCTCCTCCTTCTAATACACTGTGAGGGAGACACAGTGGGTCCATCTCCCAAGTCCTCTGCGAGCATCATACCTAATGGTGAAACCACGAAACATTCCCTGTAAGATCAGGAACCAGGCAAGAATATCTCTATCGCCCTCTATTCATCATTGTACTGGAGGTGCCCGCCAGTGTACTTAGGCAAGTTAAAATTGTTAAAAGGTGTAAAAACAGGGCAGGGAGAAATACAATTGTCATTTATTCACAAATGACATGACTGTATATATAAGAATACAAGGAATCCATAAATAAATTATTACACTAAGAGGCTCTGGCAAGAAATCTGGATTCTATATCAATACATAAAATCATCCACATTTTTATATCTCAGACATGGAAAATGAATTAAAAAAATAACATTTACAGTAGCATCAAAAATAGAAAGTTTGAGGAATAAATCTTATAAATGATTGTAAGACTTCTACACAGGAATGTCTAAAACTTTTCTGAAAGATATTTTAAAAGATCAAAACAAATGGAAATGCAATGTGTTCATTAATCGGAAGGCTCCACGTAGTAGAGATGTCATTTCTTGCCAAACATCCCAACAGTTTTTTTTTTCTTTGTGGAACTCGACAAACTGATTCAAAAACTCTCAGAGAACAAGGAGGCAGGACTTGCCAACCAGCTAATCAAGATGTCTTACTAAGTTATGGGGACTCTAAAGATGTGATATTGGTGCCAAGATAGACAAACTGACCAATGAACCAGAAGGAGGAGCCCAGAAACACCCGTGGGCATTGATGCAGGACAGTGGTGATGCTGCAGATCAGTGGGGGAAAAGATGGACTTTGCAATGAATGGTGCCAGGACAACTGGATCTCCATACGGAAGATGGAATTGGATCCCCACAGCATGACACGTGACACTTCCAGTGCTGGTGTCGAGACCTGAATGTGAAAGCTGAGGCTGTGAAGCTGCTCTAGGGAGATCGTAGGAGAATATCTTCAAGACTTCAGGGCAGGGTTTCTTCAACAAGAACTTTAGGGAGTAGTTAAAAATGTGACTACATTAAACGAAGAACTTATATTTATCAAAAGATATCATGTAAAGAGGGTGAAAACAGGAGAGGGTGTGGCCACGATGGCGGAGTAGGAAGACCCTGAGCTCACCTCCTCCCATGGACACACCAAAATTACAGCTATTAACAGAGAAACTATTGATGAGCAAAACCAGAAAACTAGCAGAAAAGAGTTTCTACAGCTACCGATATAAGGAAGGAACCACAGTGAGGCCACAGAGTCATGGTACAGTCAAGACCCATACCCCTGGCAACACACAAACGGGAGGAGGATTACAGTTGCAGAGGTTCTCCCCAAGGAGCAAGGGGTCTGTGCCCCACATTGGGCTCCCCAGCCTGGGGTTCCTGCGCTGGGAAGATGAGCCCCCAGATCATTTGGCTTTGAAGGCCAGCAGGGCTTACTCTCGGGAGTATCAGAGGGCTGTGAGAAATAGGAACTCCACTCCTAAAGGGTGCACACAAAATCTCACATGCTCCGGGCCCCGGGGTAGAAAGAGTAATTTGAAAGGAGCCTGTGTCAGACCCACCTGCTGATCTTGGAGAGCCTCTTAGAGAAACAGAAGGCACGTGGGGCTCGCCCTGGGACCATAGACACCGGCGGCAACCATTCTGGGGAGCTCATTCAACCACGTGGACACTGGGGTTGGCAAACGCCATTCTGGAATATACTCCCTCTACCTTATTAATGCTGGAACCTGGCCTGCCCACCAGCCTGTCAGCACCAGTACTGGGATGCCTCAGGACAAGCAAGCAGCTGGGCAGAGACCCAGTCCCTCTCACCAGCAGGCCTGCTGCCTTAAGACACCCTGAGCCCACCACAGGACCCAGGACTCATCCCCACATACCAGTGCACTGGCACGAGCTCACCATGAGTGGATAGGCATCAGCCCCAGAACCCCCAGGGCCCTGGCCCTGACCACAAGCAGTCTGAAACATCAACTCCAGGACCCCCAGGGCCTTGAAGCCAGAGATCCTGAGACCTGTCTCCACCCACCAGTGGTCCAGCACTAGCCCCAGGACCAGCCTTACCCACCAGTGGGCGAGCAAAAGCCCCAGGACCCCCTGGTTCCTGACCCCACCCACCAGCCCCAGGACCACCACAGCTCTTCAGACAGCCACCCTGGGATCTAGCCCCACCTAATAGGCGAGCTGAAACCAGCTGCAAGACACCTTGGACCCCACAGAGAGCTGCCCCAGGATCCAGCCCCAACCACCAGTGGGCCAACAGCAGCTTAGGACACACCAGACCCTGCAGCCAGCTGTGTCAGGAATTAGCCCTTCCTACCAGCAGGCTGACACTAGATCCAGGACACCCAGCCCTGCAACCACCCGCCCCAGAACTTGGCTTTGCCTACCAGTGGGCCAGCACTAGCCCCGGGACCCCCTGGGGCCCTGTAGTCAGAAGCCTCATGACCTGGCCCCACCCACCAGCAGCCAGTGGCCTCTGCACAAGGCAGAGTCTGGCAACCAACTGGACTGTGGGCCAGCCATGCCTACCAGACCACCCACAGCAGTCAGCCTGACACAACAGGAGAAGCCACACCACCCACAGAGGTGGCAGCCCTAGAGCGTACAGCTCTGGTGGCCAGAGGGGAGTGTGCTGCTGGGGTGCGCAGGGTGCCTCCAGCAAAAGGCTACGTCTCCAAGGTCAGGAAACAGAACCAATCTACCAAATATAGAGAAAGAAAAGCAGCAAATTCGGCAAAATAAGGCAACAGAGGAATATATCCCAGATGAAGGAACAAGACAAAACCCCAGAAGAACTAAGTAAAGTGGAGATAGGCAACCTACCCAATAGAGTTTGAAATGATGATCGTAAAGAAGCTCAAAGAAATCAGCAGAAGAATGGATAAACACAGTGAGAAGTTTAACAGGGTTAGAAGATATAAAGAAGAACAAGACAGAGCTGAAGAATACAATAATTAACACACACTAAAAGGAATAAAAAGTAACATAAATAAAAAACACACTATAAGGAATCAACATATTAGATGATGCAGAGGAACAGATCAGTGAGCTGGAAGACAGAGTACTGGAACTCACTGAAACAGAACAGAAAAAAAGAATAAAAAGAAATGAGGACAGTTTAAGAGACCTCTGGGACAACATCAATGTAATAACATTTGCATTACAGGAATCCCATAAGGAGAAGAGACAGAGAAAGGGGCAGAGACCATATTTGAAGACATAATAGCTGAAAACTTCCCTAACCTGGGAAAGGAAACAGACATCCAGGAACAGGAATCACAGAGAGTACCAAACAGGATCAATGCAAAGAGGATCAAAGCAAAACACATTGTAATTAAAATGGCAACAATTAAAGATAAAGAAAGAATATTAAAAGCAGCAAGGAAAAAGCAACAAAATACATACAAGGAATTCCCATAAGGCCGTCAGCTAATTTTTCAGCAGAAACTCTGCAGGCTAGATAGAAGGGAGTGGCACAATAAGTTTAAAGTGCTGAAAAGGGGAAATCTACAACCAAGAATACTCTATCCAGCAAGGCTTTCATTCAGGCTTGACGGAGAGATAAAAAATTTTTTTACAGGCAAGCAAAAGTTAAGAGCTCAGCTCCACCAAATGAGCTTTACAAGAAATGTTAAAGGGACTTCCCTAAGTGAAAAAGAAAAAGGCCACAGCTAGAAACATGAAAATTATGAAAGAAAAAAGCTCATTGGTAAAGGCAAATATACAGTAAAGGCAGTAAATCAACCACATGTAAAGCTAGTAGGAAGGTTAAAAGACAAAAGTAGTAAAATCATCTATATCCACAAAAAATAGTTAAGGGATACACAAAACAAAATGATGTAAAATAAGATGTCAAAAACAGCAAGTGTGTGTGTGGGGGGGTAAAAATGCCAGGATTGTTAAAATACATTTGAACTTAAGAGCCCAGCAACTTAAAATAACCACATGTATATATAGATTGCTATATAACCTTCACAATAACAACAGACAAAAGATCTATAATAGACACACAGAAAAAAAAAAAAAGGAATCCAAACGTAACACTAGAGATAGTCATCAAACCACAATGGAAGAGAGCAAAAGAAGAAGAAAGGAACAAAAAAGAACGATAAAAACAATCCCAAAACGATTAACAAAATGGCAATAAGTACATACCTATCAGTATTTATATTAAATGTGAATAGACTAAATGCTCCATCAGAAAACACAGAGTGGCTGAATGGATACATAAACAAGACCTATATATATGCTGTCTACAAGAGACTCACTTCACCTCTAAAGACACACACCCACTGAAAGTGAGGGGATGGAAAAAGATATTCCATGCAAATGAAAATGAAAAGAAACCAAGGGTAGCAATACTTATATCAGATAAAATAGACTTTAAAGACTGTAACAAGAGACA